CCTCAAGCGTATTCAGCTGTTCCTGGTGCTTTAGATTATGCTTCATCGTTGGACCAGTCGCAGTTCTTCCATCCTCCTTCATCATTCCACCTGTATCATCCTCAGGCGCATTCTGCCCATGCGTCTCACCCTCACCAGCCTGATAAGTCCGCGCCACCGAACACGAACTGGTACTCGGCAGGCTCATAGCCGAATCTTCGGCCATCTTATTATTAGCAAGCTTCTGTTAAACCGATTGTTGTTAAGTTTTTCCATTTTTTGTTGTTTCGGGGCTCAATTAGATTAATGGGACTATCCCTGATGCATTACTATCGGAAAATGTATACGGTTAAACTAAACAAGACTTCAAATACTAAAATACTCAGTCAACGACAGTTTAAGCGGTGTTCTCTATTTTTTGGAGTTTATTTTTTAATACTCTTGGGGGATGTGCCAAAAATTGTGCTTTAGGCATGGACCTTGCATTTATATCAATCGCATACTCTCATATATTTTTAAAGACAACTGCGCTAATTCTCTTGTGAACTAAATAACTTTTTTTATTTTTTACTAACAGAAGACGAACTATCAAACAAAAATTGAAACTTTTCTTTTTTTTAATGTAGACCCTGTTCTTCAAGGCAAAAACAATTTGAAATTAATTGCAGTAAGCAAGAGAATCAGTGTCACAAATCATTATAAAAACGTTAAAATATATTTAACAATACAAAATATTCATGGATTGATCAACTTCCAATTTCAAAATTTTATCGATAGTGTACCTACAGCTATCGACATTATTGCGTACTTAAATTAAATAGTTTTATTTAAATAATCCAGTGAAATCATGAGCTATAATAATAGCTTTTTGCATATCATTTATAGTTAAGCTTTTTGTAAATTATTGTACAATAGTTTATCGACATGACTGTATTTAGGCGATAATGATAAATAATCATTTAATATTGTAAATTCTAGCATTTAAGTATTGTATATTATTATTATTTTTATTAATCAGTATAAGGTTTCATTGTACATAATTACTTAATGGTCATCTATTAGATTTTAATCGAATTTCAACGTATCGATAGTTTTATCGATATCCTTCGTTTCTCCGTCACTAGGAACCAAGTCGCCATTACAAAATATTTTAAAACGTTATTATTTCATTAAAATTATTTTATTTTTATGATTAGAAAAATATATTTAATTGTCATTTTATGGAACATGACAAAATCGGTTTTTGTAGCCAAAATACTCAAACATTCCAGTTTTTTTTTATTATATTCAAGCCAAATACATTTCTTTATATTTTTTTTTATAGAAAGTTGTAATTTTTATATTAATTCGATTAGATGTTATTACAATATTGATATAATTGGTAATATTTATGCTATTTTTAACTGTGCAATACGAGAGGTAAAAGTTAATTTCAATTCTATTAAGGCTTCCTTAATGTATCTTAATATAAGGTAATAATTATTAATAAAATTGTAATAAAGTTGTAATTATTATAATAAAATTTGGGATAGGCTTGTCATGCAATTATCTGTTATTGTTTTTTTTTATATTTTCTTCTGAAAATTCAGTACTTGAATGAATGTCATGTATTTTTATTTGAATCATGAATTTAAAAAGAAGTTTATTTGTCCGAATAAATAAATAATTAAGAATTTTCAATGACTTTTTTATTATTTCCGTTGCTATTCATTAAGTTATTTATTACACATCACAAATGCTGCAAATATATTTTTATTCACATCTGGTAGCACGGTAAGGGGTGCATTGGATACTTATATTAAATGTAAAAAAAAATATTATAAAAAATCCTTTGCACCTATATTAAAATCGAAAATATCTAATAAAACAAGAGATAGCCACAATTTCAAACCCCTCTAGATATCCTACGGGTTACCGGGGCACCAGCTCGACGTGCAGGAGAAGGAACGGGGTGGTTTTTAGTCAGTAAGAGTCTGACACTCTCTCCCGCCTCACCCAGGCGGGAGAAGTCGTTCGATGATTTTCCACCCTTAAAAAAAGCCATCAGGATAAATATATTTGCTGACTGATGGACAGGGTGGGAATGACCTTAGGTAATGTGGACGTATTTTTGAAACCTCTGAACATCGATGAACTATGAATGACGACTACAAAAGTTAAGGCTGGACTAGAAGCCTAAATTACAATAAGTCTCTTGAGATTTTTTATTACTGTAGGACATAGTAGGCCTAACTTTCATTAAACAAAATTCTGAAACATTTTAAATAGACATTTGAATTTTTATTTCAAACTCATGTTTACCGATGTATTTTAATTACACCAAACTTTGGTACACCAAAATTTGGTACTTTTGAAATGTCAACAAATATAAAATAGATAATAGTCTGTCAGTCTCTCCGACAATGAAGATATGTTCGTTCCAAAATGTAGATTTGAGTGGAGAAGAACGAACAAGACACTCCATTCGTTACCTACCTACTGTACCTATAAGCAAAGCATACTTCTCAATCTCTATGAAAATGTACCAAAAATATGTCATATTTAGTCCGAGGTACATAATTTGGTAGGAGGCGTACCGTAATATAAAGTGGATAGAAAGATGTTTACTACTATTCTCAGTGTCGAATCATGAATGTTTGAATTTATGTGAACAAAGTAGCTAGCGCCATCTAGTAGCACGTAGTTCCAGATACTTTAATAATAAAAACAATCGATTAGTTTTTCTGTTTATCTTTAGTTATTTTCCATTTTTCTAACGATTTTGAAGTTTATTTTCAAATCTTAAATAAAAACTATTAGTATATCAATTATTTCTGTTTAATAGGACTTTACTGATTAAACTAGTTAGTGTTTAATTTTTAAACTAGATGGCGCTTATTTCTAATTATTCTTTAAAGATCACTTATTACACTGTCTGTATAATATAAAATTATTTGTGTGTATTTAATGCTACTTTTTATAATAACGTGCTTAATGAAATAGATTTTTGTTTATGTTATATTTGTATATTATCAGGACTTAAAAATAAAATCAACAATCAAAGTTCTAACTTCATTTATTCATTATAAAACATTACATTCATTAAAAACAGTCTCACAAACGCTGCGATGCTGTCAAAATATTCAATACTAATCTTCAGATTTACTACATCACTGAACACTTCATACTAATACCTAGTATACAGTAAATTAATAAAATGATTCAAAATATTTTGTAAATAAAACAACCATAAGTAAAATGATTAATGATTAATACTTAGCTATGAGTCTACGAGATTCTTAATTGTCATATTCAATGAAATAAATCAAGTCAATAGTTTTCTTTTTATCTCCAACAAAAAAAAAAGATAATATTAAAACCTTTTTTGTCAAAAGTTGATTGATGTACTCAATATAAATCAAAAAAAGTTTGTTATATTTAAATTTCTGATTAGTAACCTCGTTCCTTTAAAACTGATTTTTATATTTTAATGCTTAGTATTTTTAAATTAAATAAATACTTCAAATGGACGGACTATTACAAATCTTATATTGTACAAAAAGTACTGCAAAAAAACAATTATCTTTTAAAGTAATTTCAATTAAAGCTAAATACAATTAGGGCACACAATACAACAAATAAATGCTTTGAATCTTTTAATTATTTCTACGGAATGAATATAAGGACGGATTTTTGCTTAAAATATTCGAGTTTTAGTAGCTGTTTGCTACTCGAAGTACTGTCTACTCTCCAATGGTTCATAGCGACAGAAATTCTTCTTATAATTTCTCCTCCAGGATATTATACACCGTGATATTTATTTCATTTCCGTCCTTTAGCAAAACAACTTGCCATAAGGAGTACTTTCGATGTATAAAGTAAAAACAAAAAATTAAAATGTCATTAAAAAAAATCTGGAAATACGCACATGAAACACTAGACGTAAAGTAGGCACTATTCGCATCGCACGTGTCACCAGGGCCTTTTTTTTTTCTTCTATGGCAATTGAGTCTCCACTATTTATATCCAAACGCCACTTTAGCGCTTATCTATAGAGAGAGAAGAAATCAAAATGTATGGGGATGACACTGAAAAGTGTCAAAACTTATGTCAATTCCATATAATTTGGTTTTCTATTCAACATGTAGACAACCGCTGAATGGCATTTGGCTACAGCTGCAGACCAGAAATACCTCTTCGACAATTACATGGCGTAATGTTTTGATAATGTACTATAAATTCGTATGCACTTTCAAAATTTGCTTCTAGCAGTAGTTCACCAGTTATGTTTTGTTTTAAACATTTCATTTCTTTGTAAATCTATTGTATTATCAAGACAGAACAATTTTACTTCGGGGCGAAAACGAAATAGATTTCACGGTGTAATTTACGTGGTCCTATAATGAAGATACACTATAAAATGTAAGCAGTAACAATTATATCAATAACTAGCGACCCGCCCCGGCTTCGCACGGATGCAATATGCATGTATTATACATACAAACCTTCCTTAAGAATCACTCTATCTATTAAAAAAAACCGCATCAAAATCCGTTGCGTAGTTTTAAAGATCTAAGCATACATACGGACATACAGCGAAAGCTACTTTGTTTTATACTATGTATTGATGTTAATGATTACTCCTGAGACCCCAAAAAACCATTTGTTACAAAATAATTAAGTTATGTTTTCAAATTCATCTTTAGTGTCAATTTATACTCATAAATGTGTTCAGTGTCATGTAACACTTATGAATTTAAAAAAATAATTAAATATGCGATTTATACGAAGCTTTCAATTACAGCAAATATTTAACTATTATAGTTTAGGCACTTCATTTCATACTTACATTGTTAACAAATAATATATTCTATAATCCATAGAAGTTATTAATTATTTTATTACATCTTATCTTATATCTTATACTATTATATAAAGCGGAAGAGTTTGTTTTTTTGTTTGAACGCGCTAATCTCCGTAACTACAAGTCTGATTTGAATAATTCTTTTTGTGTTGGATAGAGCATTTATCGAGGATGGCTTTAGACTATAATACATCACGCTACGACCAATGGGAGCTGCGCAGAGCGTGTGAAACCGCGCGGAAGTAGCTAGTCTACAATAAATGTGTAGATAAGAATGAATGATTTTTCCATACAATTAGATTTTCAAAGTAAAATAATAATAAAATAGGTCAGTACCATGATTTGATTTGTGCCGGATTCTACGACGATTTCATTTCATTTAGCTTTATAAAAATAATTGTTATCTTTATAACAAATGTTTGTGCCAACATTGGTGTTAGTATTCTACTAATATCTCTATGTTTGGAGATTGCATCTCCAATATAATTTGGTATTGTGAGAACACGCAGAGCCAGCAGTATATCTGAAATAATATACAAATCAATAAAGATCATTATGATTATAGCACGGAATTTGGGGCTTTGTCATACTTATGGCTGCCTCGTTGGCCGAGTGGTCGCAAGTGCGACTGCCGGGCAAGGGGTGTCGGGTTCGATTCCCGGGTCGGGCAAAGTACTACTGGTTTGACTGAATTGTACCCGGTATATGGCAATAGGCTCACCCCCTATTTCATGGGACTCATAACATAAATAGCGAAAAGTGGGTGTTACATTGTACAGTGGCATTAAGTGCCGTAATGTGCATCTCTTCACCTCTGCCTACCCCTTCGAGAACAAAAGGCGAATAACTTTTGAAAACTGATAAACTTAGTGCTTGTACAGACTTTTAGATATATCTGCCACCCCTTCATATATATAGATAATTTAATTTTAAAGATGAGTATACTTACGTTGTAAGCCATCCAGATAAAATCGATAAATGCAGCGAATGTCGCGTCCAACTGAAACATTATAAAAATGGATTTCAATTTGAGCATATTTAACGGGGACACGGGCTGCCGCGCAGCAACGTGTCGCGGATTCGATTCCCGTACAGAATAACTCTTTGTGTGATCCACAAATTGTTGTTTCGGGTCTGCGCAAAACGCTCCGTGGCGTTATTGACGCTCCAGAACTACTGGAGTCATTATCACATTTTTACGTTTCAGACAATTACTGCTGTGGTAACAAGCACAGGTTGTTTGCAGTGCCCTCATGCCATAGTAAGAGCTAAGCCCCTTGGCCGCGCTCAATGGTCTCTTGGAATCTATAACCTAATTAGTGATTTGTGGACAGATGGATGGAGATCTTATTGGAATGTCTAAAGTACTGCGAGGAGAACTTATGAATGCTACCTGTTTTAAATAAGTTTCACTTTTCTTTGTCATTGTGTAGAATGTGTATGTTTTAGTTTTATTATTTCAATATTTATTCTTTTGTGAGTTTGTCCAGTTACCACTGTAATTAATTTTTAACTGTTATGACTGTCAATTTAAATAAACAAATGTGTATGTGAACTTGGATGTTTGTTAACGAACCTATGACACAGGAGAAAATCATAGCACGGGGCAACATTTTGTTATTTAAAGTAAGTAATGAAAGATATTCAAGTAATGAAAGATATTTAAAGTGTGGGAGAGCCATGCTTCGGCACGAATGGGCCGGCTCGACCGGAGTGATACCACGGCCTCACAGAAAACCAACGTGAAGCAACGCTTGCGTTGTGTTTCGTCGTGTGAGTGAGGTTATCGAAGGCCCAATTACCCTCCCCTTCCCCAATCTCCTCAATTCCTGAATCCCCAACGATCCTCAAACTCCTAATTCCCCAAAAGGCCCGTAACGCACTTGGAACGCCTCTGGTGTTTCAGGTGTCCATGGGCGACGCCGATTGCTTACCATCAGGTGATCCGTCTGCTTGTTTACATGTTAGAACAGACTTGACAAACATAATCATCAATAAACCATGTCATGACAGTCCACAACTACTGCACATGGACTACTGCTACACACACACTATGATGGACGTCCACGTCTTATAAGAGCATTGTCATCGCCACACCTTACAGGGAGTTTTATTAGCGAATAGTCCAGTATCAGCTAAAGTAATCTCAGTCAGAGTGCCAATCACAAATAACTATCGCATTCGTGACGTAATATTACCAAGCGCGATTTTAAGCATGAGTAGCGGGCGTGTTGTTAAAATAGTATTTCAGCAATTTGTTCATATAAAAGTAGTCTCTAAACATTGGAAATAAGGTCTATAATGGAGTTAGTGGAGAGTGGTCACCGGTGTCCGCTTGGGTTTTATATGGGTTAAACCTCCGGGCCACCACAACATTACTCACATAAATATAATATCCTCCAATAAGCCAGAGTCCAAACAGCAGCTGGAATAAGATGATGAATGCCATCAACCCCAACCAGGGCAGAATGAAACCTCGCATCCAGATGTCGATACCAATGATCTGGAAAAATAAGAATAAGATTTTAGCACTAAAAATAGATAATTAATTGGGTTGTCATTTTCTAATAATGATTAATACCTCTGTTATGAGCAGATATTTATAATTTGACCCTGTTAAGCAGAAAAGATTCAGCCCACATTTTATTACTTTTGAGTAAAGTTTAATGTTGGGCTAATATTAAAAAAATCGTGTAAGTAATATATGATTTTTCCTCAATTTTTTTAATGTTATATTAATCTTATAGAAAACTAGATACTGGACTGCCTCATTAGCAGACTGGTCTTGGGCTTGTTCCCCAGGTTGAGCAAAGTATTACTGTGATTTGTTTTAAAATTGTCAGTTACTACACAAAGTCTGGAATTATGCCTGGTATATGGCAATAGGCTCATCTTATTATATGGGACTCATAACATAAATAGTGAAAATAGGTGTAACATTAGACAGTGGCATTAAGTGCACCTCTGCCTACCACTTCAGGGGTAAAAGGTGTAATAATGTTAGAAAACTAGATAGAAAATGTTTTCAACTTACCATAAGAACAGAGAAAATGATGAGAAGTATAAATATGACTATAAATATACTTCCAAATACTTGTAGAGCTGAAACACAGAAATCAACAATTAATTACTCAATACTGACTGCCGACTTTGCTAGTGTAGGTCACCGGTGACATTAACGTGTTAAGCCTAAGTAGAATACATGGCAGTGCAACAGTTGCACCTATTCCAGGGATTAAGGTTCAGTAACTTTTCTAGTGACAGCAGTTTTAACCGTTTTAACCGTGACGTATTAGCCACACATTGTACGAAACCCTGGTCTGGTTTGTTTGCCTGGTCTGGTTTGTTGTATGCCACAGAACGGTAATCCGTTCTGTAATCCGTTCTGTGCGAATGTCTAGAATAAAGAGAATCACCATAAATATCAGAATAAAACTCATAAAAAAAACTTTGCAGACTAAACCTTTGTAGTTTTTTTTAAATGTTGCCCCACATTAGGATTTTTACGTGTGTCGTGGGTGCATTTACAAACATACATATGGCATCCAGACTCGGAACAACAATGTGTGGATCACACAAAGTGTTGTTTCGTGCGGGAATCGAACCGGGCCAGCCACTGCACCAACCGTGCAGTCTAGTCAGTTATATTGAATATAATAATGAACAGATTCAACATCAGCAAAATAAAAATCAAATATCACACTTCTTATTGTGAGCAAAACATTCTACTCTATTAATTATTATTAATTCTCATAAGAAACTTCTATCCACTATACACGCAAGAAACACTAACCAAGTACTCTGAACATGACAACTGATAGGTAACTACTTACATCCTCTCACATCAGCTTCGAACAAAGGGTTCCAGAGCTGCGTGGAGTCCCCACCGGCCATTTGATACCCAATGAACGTGATCAACACTATACTCATAGCAATAGTGTACACAGCAACCGCACGACTTCCACTCTTCACCGTTGATGACCAGATACATGGTGACCAGCACGATTCTAGTAAAGGAGCCATGTTTTCAGTCTAAAAACTCTCCGTAAAGCTCACAATGTATTGATATTTCAGTTAATTTCACTAGAAAATCTTCCGTGATTAGCAGCCACACCTAAAAATAACAGTTATTTTGTAATCATATTTCTAAGTGAAAATTGTATTAATTGTAATGTTTGTTTAAGTATTTTGATTCGATGTTTAATAAATGTTGTTTTTGCTCTAGTTTCTTGTTATAATAGTTGTTAAAATTTAGTTTCGCACCTTTCTATTGAACACCGATTCAAATGGAACAATTTGTTGGATTTGATTTGTTGTTTCTGTCAAACAAACTTTAGAAAGTTAAACTAAGCTTTAAATTTTAGCATTTGTATTATTCTATCTCACTTTAACTCTTTGCAAAGTAGCTAATATAGACAGTGATAGCCAATTAGAAACTTTGAACTAATGTCAGACTGTCAGAGATTGAGTCAATGCTGGATACTGGAACGTTTCCCAAGCCTTGCTGTTTGGTTTGACATTTAAAAACAGATTCATTAAACGCAGAATCTCTTGACCGTTATTAATCAGCGGAACCAAATTATATTTTTGTCGTAAAACTTAGATGAAATTGCTTTACAATAAGTCATTAATTTTAACGACCTCATAGTTATAAAATTAATTTTTAAATTAGTAAATTGAAGGTAGCGTCATCTATTGAGTTAGTAATAAACTGCTTTCAACGGATGTTTACAAAAATCACTCAGAGATGGCGCTTAAGCAATATATTACAAGAATACCTACATTTCAGTATTGGGCTTGTTTTTTTAATTTTCGCGATATTTGGTACGTAACTTGGAGATATAGTGAATCCAACCGAACTTTACTAACTTTAGATTTTATTTTAAACAGACAAATACGTTAGGTGCGTAGATGTATTCATTTAACTATGATCGAAAAGATACAGCAAATTCTTCAGGGAACACCAGGGCACTTAGCAGCTTATTATTAATCTATTAATTTGCATTCAATAGCCACAGTCGTGACTTATTATCAATTGATAGAAAGTTTACAAAAGATCTGTCCTATAAGACTAGTTAGGTGTCATTACATAGAAGTTCATTGACCCTCATTACGATAGTAAAAGTAGATCCATTCATAAGCTACACTCGTACCGAATATGTGGTTAGATCATTTCGCAAACTTTTGTGTTTTGGACAAAGCATCTACCTACTTCACTTAGGTACCTACCTACGTCAACAGCCTATAAATGCCCACTGCTGAGCAATGCCTCCTCTCACACGGAAAAGGTTTGAGCATTAATCACCACGCTTGCTCATTTTGGCTTCGCTTTTCGTCTCATCCTCATCCTCTAAGATTATTTAGACACTCATGTACCTAGGTAGGTACTTATATATAACTCGGAACAAGTCACATTGGTACTTGGCGTTGGTTTATAACGATGCAATAATGTTAAAGATGTAAGTAATGGTGAAATTTGAACTGCTGTCCACCGTACCCTAACTCATACATTCATACTCTTCGAGGTTCATGAGTTTTCTGGTAGGTTTTTGGATGGCTGGTTCTGGTACAGATCACTCTGTGGTGCTCTCGAGGTTGAGCTTCAAAGCTCTCGTCATGCGACAAAGTTGTCGGCAATAAAGTTTTCGAGCAGTGGGAGAGTTGGGATGATGACAGGGTATGAAAATTAAAAATCTAATTAGTCCGTAAGTTAGGTAATGAAAAAATATAAGACATGTATTTTTAATATATAATTAAACAATACTTAGATAAAATGAATCAAAGTTTAGGAGTGGGGGCTATAACGTCATTAGGAGCAGTCATTTGATGATTCTCCCCCCTTAAAAAAACCTTGCTGCAGACAGAATTATGTTCATCGATTTATGAAATGACATTTTTAATACCTAGATGGAAGTGGCTAGTTTGTTGATCGGTAGTTATTTGAATTTGAATCTCAAGAACTGAATTTATAAATTAACCCAGTACAAAGACATTATTTCGCCGTCAACACACACCAATACGTCGATCACATTCACATTGATCAACTGCGTCCATGTTCTGTAATCTGTAAAAATAAAACAAACATGTTGTTACAAAAACAATGACCACGCAACCTCTCGGCTGGTTCCGAGAAACGAAGAGCCGTTACGATGCTCCGGTAAAGGTAAGGTGTGAGAGCTAGCGACCAGCGATTTATTTACAAAAAAAAAATGCTTAGTTGGTAGGCCATGAGTAATGCTAGGTATTTTTTCTTTTATTAAAGTCAGGGTAATATAAGCTCCGACAAGAAAAGAAGAATTGTCCTTACTAAAAATATTTAACCTACTGCCTAAAATACTAACTTTCCGACTGCTTTACATGACTGTTTATTGCTACAATACTTTTTTTTTTTTTTAATGGGGGGAAATCCTCATGGACTGCTTCCGCCTGGGGAAAGGCGGAGGGGTGTGCTGGACTCTTACCGGCTAAAACCACCCCAGTGTCTCCTCGCACGTGCGCGCGGGGGCTGCGGGAGTCCAAATTCATCCGCAGCCCCGCATTACAGTGCCGGCCCGTCCGTCCGGGCCTCATCTCCTGCACCGTAGCAATGTGTAGCCACGTGCATCGCCTCAAAGGCGCGCGCCGACACCCGCGCGCGCCTTCGACTCGGGTCTATCGAATCGGGGGCGGGGACTTCCCCAAGTCCTTCGCCCCTGGACCCATTCATGGGGGCCGGAAGAGGGCGTTGTCGGCCCGTCTCCTACGCCCGGTGCGCCGTCTGCGGTTGGGAAAGGAAGTCAACAAGATCTCCCTCTCCCGTTCCGCAGTTTCTTTCTGCGACATCACGTCCTCGCAGAAAGACACCACCGCGTCCCACGACTCTGTGCTGTCCACCATCTTCCGCACTACGGCCGGCAGCGACAGATCGCTTCCTACTTCATTTGTGAGGACACGGCGCTGCTCCTCCCAAGCTACACACTCGGCGAGCGTGTGTTGCGCTGTGTCCTCCCCGCAATGGACGCAGTGGTGGCACCGGGCGTTCGGCTCCCTCTCTATGCGGCACAGGTACTTGCCGAAGCAGCCGTGCCCTGACAGCACCTGCGTCACCCTAAACGACGGGGAGCCGTGCTTCCTCCCGAGCCAGTCGTCGAGTACTGGCCGGATCGCCTCGACGGTAGTAAGGCCGGCGGTGGGGCGCAGAAGCCTTTGCCGCCATTCCGCCACCAAGACCTGACGGAGCTCCTCTCGGCGCCGCTCAATTTGGCGCTGCACCGGCCTCGAGCCCCGTGTCTGCTCTTCCTCGCGCCATCGGTATAGTGACGCGAGTACTTTCGCCTCTAGGTCCCAGGGCGGGGATCCGGCCAGAACGCAAGCCGCCTCGTAGGAAATCGTGCGATACCCGCGGACGACTCTGACAGCCATCGCCCTCTGCGATTGCTACAATACTAACCTAACCAAACCTAAAACCTCTGTTGTCGGTAATTTATTATGTCGGAGGTTCAATATTCTATTCGGAAGTTTAGTTTTGTTATTCGAAGATCCATTTTTATAGTTGGCCACAGATTGTTGGAGATTAATATGTTTTTCGGAACCATTATTATTTTCCTTGAAGACATAATAAATTATTAGTATGTGTACTAGTAGCAACGCGACAGTCGCCGCGTCGCGGGTCGCGGAATGCTGCTCGTGGATATGAGCCTCTAGCGTGCCTTGAAACTAGTCGAGCTCCTCGTCAAATAGTTACATGAGTAAGCCGAAAACATAATTATAAAATCTTCATTATTATTGTCATCAACGGTTCGTCGTGATGTCGTGATAATCTACTTACTGTTTGCTGATGGGCTTTGGGTCTATAGGTACTTTTGTAGTAGGTAGTTACTACTTTTGTCTATGTTTCCCATAATCTATGTGACGGGAATAGAATGGAATGAAAATCAAAATCAACCAACTTAAATTGCAACCCCCAGCTGCTCAGCAGATCTGAGAGTGCTGATCCTCAACCGGAGCAGGAAGAAGAGAGGCAGTGACAATTATGACAAATATTTAGATGTATTCATTTTACAGAGGTGACCGCTATCGGCTATCTATCTGCCTTTAATTTCTTTATAACCTATTCATGATACAAAAATGAAATCCTTCGCAAATGGACCACAAAGAAACAAATACAACCAAATGATATTTCTACTTCATGTATCATTTCATAAAGCGCACGAGTGCAGTAAACATATTGAATCGATACAGCTATCCAAGAAATGTTTTCGTCGATCAGTATAGAATAGAAATTATAATTCATTAAAAAAAACTTAAGACATTAGAGTTTTCGAAAATTATCACAAATGCGAATGATAACAATCAAGGTGTTTCGGATGAGATTTAGCTTATCGGCATAGTCGCGGAGAATCTGACGGGTTTCCGGGGCTCCGGCTCGAAGTGCAAGAGAAGGAACGGGGTGGTTTTTAGTCAGTAACAATCTGACACTCCCTTCCGCCTCACCCAGGCGGGAGAAGTCATTCGATGATTTTCCCCCTTTAAAAATGCCTATAGGCATTCAAGGGGCACAATGGAATTGTGATTCCAAGTAATAATTTGCAAAGCTTTTAAGAATCCGAAAATTACTTAAGAACAATTTTGAATAATCCTCGACAAGACAACACTTTACCCTACCCAGACATTGAGACCTCTAGCTCAGCAGTCGAACTTACAACCAGTCTCCCAACGAGACAGCATTGCAATCACAGTATCTAAGCTTTTAATTTGAAAGTATAACTAAAAGCAGTTAGGATAACAATCCGGTTTGTGGTTCAATTAAAACTTGCCATTTTTCCTCTCTGATATTGCGCTGTAACAGTTACGTTAAAGCTCTTGTGACGTAACTGTAGATAAAGGTAACTGTAATAATGGGACGAGTTTATAACAAAGGTTTAATTTAATGGAGTAGTTTATTAATATACGATAAAGAGTTATGGTTCAGTTTTTTTTTATGGAATAGGAGGCAAACGAGCAGACGGATCACCTGATGGTAAGCGATCAGCGCCGCCCATGAACACCCGCAACACCAGAGGAGTCACAGGTGCGTTGCCGGCCTTTTAAGAAGGAGTACGCTCTTTTCTTGAAGGTTTCAAGGTCGTATCGGTTCGGAAATACCGCCGACGACAGTTTTCAACGCTTCGATGGTTGAGTGGTTGCAATAGCAACAGCTGAGTAAGAGGTATGGTGTTCGGTCTCTGAGGCGGGGCTTGTTGTGTTTTTTTTGATGGCGGAAAATTATACAATGACTTCTCCCGCCCGGGTGAGGCAAGAGGGTGTGTCAGACTTTTACTGACAAAAAGACACCGCGTTCCTATTCCTGCACTTCGAATTCGAACCGGAGTTCTGACAAC